ATCTCTCTCCACCCGACCTATTGCTCCGTTCTGAGCCGATGTTAGCCTTTTGTGGAGCGCTTAGTAGGCGGGATGAAGGTCCACGGCTCTGTTTAGTGTGCCGCAAGCAATTCAAACAACCACGAAAATCGATCTGTGCAATCGATTAACACATGGGCAGCAAGGCGAATGGTCGTTCGCATTTATCTGACGCAAACAGGAGAGCAGACAACACGCTCTGACGATGGAAGCGAGCGAACTTTTGAAAAGTCAGCCAGAATACACTTTGGTACCAGAAATCATCTCCACTTCTTCTTCCTCTTCCGGGGATGATGTAAGGAGCATCATATAGGTATAGACCGAAATTGTAAGGATTGAAATGCCGGCATCCCAAGCGATATACATATATGTTTTGATCAAAGAAATTATTTGGGAAACGTGAACAAACTTTATTGTAACTTTTCGACTCTGGCACACCAGGTCGTCGTCGTCAGACGTGCGGGAAATGTGTAGAGAACAGTGCGCATTTTTAAACATATAGAAAAATTAATAATGCTTTGTCATCCTTGGCCAATAGCAGGCTTTATTGGTTGACGCCTTTTCCAGGCTTCTTTGATTGTTTATTGTGTAAATTTTCGAACCTGTTTCCCCAGCTCGTCGTCAGACAAATGAGTGTGTGAAAACAGTTAACTCAAAAAGATGACTGACACAAGATTCTACAGCGGGGCCGGCGTGTAGGAAGATAAGTGTATATGCCGAAAGATTCGGGGTCCAGATATGTTATCGTGTTCATCATCTCCCAAAGGTAAGGAAGAGGAAGAGGGGACGAATTCATGGACCAAATTATATTTGAACTGACGTTTCGAAAAGCTTCTCGCTTCCATAATCAGTGTTGTGGTACCCGCGTCTGGTGGTCGTGAGTTAGCCAACCTTGCCGTCTGCCCCAAATTATATCGGTGTTGGACGTCTGGACTTTGACCTGCTCGTTCGCTGCCGACCACATTTGGTCTCCCGGAGGTTGGCTACTGGTGGGCTTGCGTGACCGTCGCCCCCTCTGCGGTCAGCGTAGTCGTGGGCGAGTCAATATGCTTGCTAGCCT